CAGATATTTTTTTTAATATCAATATATATTTTTCTAAAATGGTTAAAACCAAAGTTAGATCTCGAGTTCGACAATATCTTAACCTACTGCTACTCTATTAACTCCCGAAACAATCGAAAAAATAAGGAATGCTCATGCAAAACAGATACCAAATAGAAAACACATTATATGTGCTAATTATAAAATTGGTAGTGAAAGATATGATGATATTGTAAATGGCCGAATATATCCTCAACTACCTAAAATAGAAATAACATCTATGAATTCATTTATCTCAATACCTCAACCAGAAATCTTGCCTATACATAGCTTATCAAGTGCCAGAAATCCTGAGCAAGTAATTTTTTTGAGCAAACCAGCGACAAAAAAGACTAGTAGAAAATCAGAATCAAAAACTATAAATCATTCTATCTCATCAATACTAGGGAGTGATGTGTAAGCTAAAATAGAAAATTTATAAGAATATAAAAAACAGCTTCAAGCTGAATCTTGAAATCGTATCAATTTCTTTTTAAGATATTCTGTATAATCAAAAGCTCTAATAAATTTCTTTTTAATAGTTGGTTTATTTTCTAGATTTTTCATACCTGATATGATTTGAATCTTGGAATAGAATTCTAGTCTGAGAAAGAAATCAATTTGTTTGTCAGAATCTATTATGTTTTTTTTTTTAGATTTTCAGTGAATGAATCAGAGACTTGGGACTCTTTTTCTTCATTAGATGCTGGCTCCTCTTTAGTATCGATCTTGGTAAAAGAATCGAAAGTTTGATTTTTTGAATTATTATCCTGAATCACTGTTGTATAAAGGCTTGATAAAATATTATCCTTGATTGGCTTAGTAAAGGTTGGAATAATATAAGATTTTCTATGAACTATTATTCGAAATTTATGTTTGTTTGTATCTAGAATTCCTTGAACTTTTCGAATCCATGGCGTTCTTAAACAAAGAAGGTAATCGGGTTTTCTATCATCAATAACAACAACATGTCCTGTTTTAGTAACCCATTTATTTTTATATTTTATAGATATTGGTACATCCTTATATTCTCCTTCTAATTTCGTTATATGATCAGAATTATGTCTAAGGGAAAAATTTGTGCCATCCCAAGATTCCATCCTAATGCCTCATTTAGTGCTTTATTCATAACAAGACATCCCGATGCTGTATCAGCAAACCTATCCGGAATAATTATATCTTCAATTCTATACTGCACATATTCAAGTGATTCGGCCCATTTATTTTTTGTAGATGGGATAATAATTTTTTTTCGCATTGCTGGAGATAATAATTCTAATAACTGGTTATCCGATTCTGGAAAAAGGTTTGGCATAGTGACTTTTTCATTTTGTTTAGATTTTGTAACTAAAGATTTGCATGAAATTACTGATTTATTCTGTGATATTTTACTTATTGTTGGTGATATCCATTTTTTTTTTCTAAATAGGATGGAGGAGCATGCCATTGATTATCTTCATTATTATACCCACCTTCATTCTCCTCGCTATCATCTGAATTAGGAGGTGTGTATTGGGGATATATTGGCTTGAGAGATGTAAAATATGATCGAGTATAATTAGATTGGACCGTAGGTTGATTGGGGCATTTGCCCTTGCTATGGTCTGTTTCTCCACAAATTCTACATTTCTTTATATACACTTTTTTCTGTAATTGGTCTGCTAACTGATTTATAGTATCT